TTCTGAACTCGATTTCTGACATCTCAGCCATCTGTTTATGGATGGTGTCTTCAGTTGCATCTACCCCATTTTTCCTTGGGGGACTTGATCTACTCTGGTTATTCAAGTTGCTAGAGTTTTTCCGCTGATTCTGCCCCATGCTGAGTTTACCTTGTTTGGAGGCCTTATCAGAACTGTTCAGTTGGTGGTTTCTTCTAGTTGCCCAGAGAGACAGGCAGAGTGTGTCTGTTGTCTTCTCCCAGTTCTCGGGTGCTAGGGCAACCGGGACACAGTGGAACGTCAGCAACCACACCGGAGTGTGTGTAGCTGGATTAGACCTTGTTTAGCCTGCCGGGGTGACCAGGGGGCAGGAGACTGGCAGCAGCTGGATCAGTCCTAGTTCGGCCCTACCGGGGCAACCGGTGGAACAGGGGAACTATAGCGGCTAGATCAGTCCTAGTTCAGCCCTGCCAGAGTAGCTGGGGAGGGGGAGCAGAGGACTTCTTCACATTGCCCTTGGATGTGTGCGGCACTAGCAAGCCAATCTGTGCCCTCCCAGCATGGGAGCCCAGAGAGGGAACTCCTCCACCTCCGCCGGTGGGACACATGTGGCTCTAGCAAACTGTTCTGGGTTCACCCAGAGTGGCAGACTCCTCCACTGCCATCTGCAGGGCGTGCATGGCTCTAGCAAGCAGTTTTGGGCCCACCCAGCACGGGTGCCTGGAGCGGGGAATTCTTCTGCTGGCCCCTGTGGGGTGTGCACGTCTCTAGCAAGCTGTTTTGGATCTGCCTGGAACAGAGGACTCCTCTGCCACTGCCCATGGGATGCCCGTGGCACTAGCAAGCAGTTCTGGGCCTGCCCAGAGCAGGAGCCTGAGGCGGGATCTCCTCTGCTGCCCGTGAGGCGTGCAACTCTAGCAAGCAGTTCTGGGCCTGCCCCAAGTGGGGGGACTCCTCTGCCACCACCCATGGGGTGCCCGTGGCTCTAGCAAGTAGTTCCGTGCCTGCCCGAGGCAGGGGACTCTTCTGTGGCCACCTGCTGCCTTTGGGAGGTGTGCAGCTCTAGCCAGCAATTCTGGACCCACCCAGAGCCCCGGAGTGGGGATCTCCTCTGCTGCTCGTGGGGCGTGTGGTTCTAGCAAACGGTTCTGGGCCTGCCCAAAGTTGGGGCCTCCTCCGTCACTGCCCGCGGGGTGCGCAAGGGTCTAGCAAGTAATTCTGTGGCTTCCCGGAGCAGGGGAATCCTCTGTGACCACCCGCCACCTGCAAGAGGTGTGTGGCTGTAGCAAGCAGTTCTAGGCCTGCCCAGAGCCCTGGAGTGGGGATCTCCTCTGCCCCCTGTGGGGTGCGTGGCTCTAGCAAGCACTTTGGGGCCCTCCCAGAGTGGGGGACTCCTCCGCCGCCACCTGCGTGGGTGCGCAAGGCTCTAGCAAGTAGTTTTGTGCCTGCCAGGAGCAGGAAACTCCTCTGCGACCACCCACTGCCTGCAGGAAGTATGTGGCTCTAGCAAGCAGTTCTGGTCCTGCCCAGAGCCCTGGTGCAGGGGTCTCCTCTACTGCCCGTGGGGTGCATGGCTCTAGCAAGCAATTCTGGGCCCACCCAAAGTTGGGGACTCCTCCATCACAGCCCGTGGGGTGCATGAGGCTCTAGCAAGTAGTTCTGTGGCTGCCCAGAGTAGGGGACTCTGCTGCGACCACCTGCCACCTGCAGGAGGCATGCGGCTCTAGCAAGCAGTTCTGGGCCCACCCAGAGCCCTGGAGCTGGGATCTCCTCTGCCGCCTGTGGGGTGCGTGGCTCTAGCAAGCAGTTCTGAGCCCCCCCAGAGTGGGGGACTCCTCTGCCATTGCTGCAGGGTGCACAAGGCTCTAGCAAGTAGTTATGTGCCTGCCCAGAGCAGGGGGACTCCTGTGCAGCCATCTGCTGCCAGCGGGAGGCTTGCGGCTCTAGTAAGCAGTTCTGGACCTTCAAAGAGCCCTGGAGCAGGGGTCTCCTCTGCCACTCGTGGGGTGTGCAGCTCTAGCAAGCAGTTCTGGGCCCTGCCAGAGTGGGGGACTCCTCCACTGTCACCCATGGGGTGCACAAGGCTCTAGCAAGTAGTTCTGTGCCTTCCCGGCACAGGGGACTCCTCTGCAGCCACCTGCCACCTGCGGGAGGCAGGTGGCTCTAGCAAGAAGTTCTGGGGCCTGCTTTGTATCTGTATTTTGTGTTCTTAAATGCTCTTCCTTGGACTTAGAGCTTGCCAAACTTCTTTCTGGGCTCAGCTCCCCGTCTTTGGTTTCATAGATTCTGATTCCAGCCAGTTTTTCTTCCTTTGCTCAGGAGCCTCTGACCAGGGTTGCTACCAGTCGGCCATCTTCCCAGAATTCTTTACAGTTAATTTGAATATATTTTATTGTGAAATATAAACATAGTAATTGCAGAATTTTCCATTTAACATACCCTATCTTATTCCTAGCATATTGGATTCTATTCGAATAGTATTTGACTGTTTTTTTTTAAATTACAGAATATTATGGAAGTTACATAATTTGCTTTTGCACAGATTGAGATTGAGTCAAAGTTATAAGTGCTCCCATTACAGAGATAGTGTGCACTGTACCCACTAGGTGTGAATTTACCTGTCTCCTCCCACCTGCTTGATTTTTGTTCAGGTTTACTTCCATGTGTTGCATATAAGTGTGGATCCATAGCTTGTCATTACCTTGTAAGAGGGAGGAAAAATAAATGAGAAATGATCAGTATGGATTTTGGGGGGCTCTGGTAGAGTTTCTGGATGACTGGATTTTTTAATTTTTATTTTTTATTTCTTTTGCAGTTTTTGGTCAGGGCTGGGTTTGAACCCACCACCTCGGGTATATGGAGCCAGCACCCTACCCCTTTGAGTCACAGGCGCTACCCTGGACTTATTTATTTATTTTTTCATTTCATTCTGCGTTTCCTTTATTCTTTCAAGCAGACAGCTCTGCTTTGCAAATGCAAATGAAGCACAAACCCTGTCCCAGAGTTAGCAGCTTATTTTGGGAATACTGGGAAGAAAGAAAAACTTTCCTGTACTCTCTTATATTTAGTGACTGGCACTTGCAAATTAAACTAACAAAAGACAGATTAATAGGAGAGAAAAAACAATTTGTTAATAGATGCAACGTAAACACACGTGGGAAAACTCCGTGTTGAGTAATGGAAAGGAATGATTAGAATCTGGGGCTTATCTTCTATCTTAGTAAGTGCAGGGGAGAAGAAGAAATGTACTTAAGGAAAACCAGATGACTTTTTGGAAAGATAAATGGGTTTTCAAGAGAACAAATAGTCAATAAGAAAGTCTGTAATCATGTTTGTCTATAAACATGAGAAGTCTTCTGTCTCTGTAAAATTCTCCTGGAGAAGGAATTTGGAGATGAGTTTTATTCAAGTTTTCCCTTCTGGGAGTAGATCTGCCTTGAAGAGCAATTTATGGCAACCTTCTTTCCCAGAAGTTGCTTTTGTCAGATAAAAGTAGCCCAGGAAAGCCTTTTCACCCCTGGGTCATTGAATCTCAAGTGCCTTCAGCTTAAAATTTTGGAGTGGTGTATTCTGATTCCCTTCAGGAGAAAGGCACAAATCAAATCAACAAAGCAATAATAATGGTGGGAAAAGAGGATAATATTTTAGATCTTACTATGTGGTTAGATGCTTTGTATTTGTTATTTTAACAAAACCTAACACTCTGTAGGAATTTTGACCCAATTTTGCAATGAAAGCACAGAGAACCAACTTATGTGCTATGATAGTCATGAACAACATGCTAAGGGAGCCGCAGAGCAATTTTATGTGGTTTAATTCTGGAGACCAAAACCCTCCCCTTACCTCTCTCTTCATTCACTTAGTTACTTCCAGACTCAGGTCAAATCTTGCCCTGGGAAGAGCCACCAAGTGGGAAGCCTGGCCTAGGCCTGGCAAATGAGGATAATGTGTCACTGCAGGACTTTGAAGCTGTCAGGCTTGGAATCAGTTAGGACCAGCTTCTTTCTGGGAAGCCAAAGATCTGGAGGGACAGAGACAAGTAAGATTAGTTTGCTTCCTTGAGCTTTCAGTCTTTTGTGCTGCTAAAGTCATAGGGGATCTGGTATTTTGGGAAAGGGGAATGATGTAGCAACTAGAAGGTGGATCTTCCTTAGGAAAGCACCAGAGATTGGCTCACTGATCTCTTCCCCCAGAGCTGGTGAAGAGTTGCAGAAGGTGGACTGTAAACATGGGCAAATATTGACCAAAGTCAAGGTCATGGCAAGACCATTTGGCCCACATTGTTTGGGGGAAGGATAAACCTGCAGTTCAAAAAGACTGGTTAACTGGATTTGAGCTGGAAACTGGGAAATTTCCGAAACTAAGTTTTAAACCTGGCGGCTCTTTTACTTTTTTTTTTTGGTTTCTTCGCTAAGTCTCTCCATACCAACTTCCTTACTGCTGTTCTTATTTCCTGTTGTAGGATTTTTTTTCATATTCTCCAGAAAAGGGAAATCAATATAATTTCTTCTCTGGGAGGGAAGTGGTTAGTGTGCTCTTAAGTGGCATTAGAAGATCTATTTTGAACTAAAGCCGGTGTCTGGGCTGGGTTAATTCCAGCCTGGGTCAAGTAACCACCAGATGTTTTATCAGTTTGCGTGCTGTCTTGTGGTTGTGTGGCTGATTTCTGCTTCCGATGGTACGTATGCTTTCCTTAAATTCAGCTTGCAAGGCATTTGATATCAGTTTGCAGAATTCTGTCTAGAGTTTTAATGAAGTTTAAATTTACGGTATTTCTCAAATGGCCAGTGCTCTGTGCTCAATAGAATCTTAGTATATTTTTAATGATAATCCTGCTATGGGTAGTTACTATTTACTGTCCCTTTCTGTCTGGGAGCAAAAAAAAGTACCGATTTCAAAAATACAAGAAAGGTCCTACCTGTACTAAACTCCGGGGCTGCTACTTGGGAAGGGGATTATTTGTTTAGGAGTGGACCACTTGTGGTGGAATTCGAGTGAAATCCCTATTATCCTTTTTGAAATAAAACTTTGGAAATCCTTGGAAAAGGAAGGACATGGTTGTATGTGGACATGGCAGAGTACAGGAATCAAGATGAATAACCAGAAAAAGACACTGGGATGAAGGGATCTAATTAGGGCTTCCTGACAGCCCTCCACATACCGAGTGCATCTGTTTTCTTTTTCCTTCCAGCAGAGCATTGTTTGGAACTTCCCCCAGTGAACAACAGCATATTTGTTGCCCAGGAGGTAGAAGGACAAATCCTGGGGACTTACTTTTGTATCAAGGGTTACCACTTGGTAGGAGAGAAAACCCTTTTGTGCAATGCCACCAAGGAATGGAGTGCTCCCACCACCAAATGCCGCTGTAAGTTGGAGCTTTCTGCTTCTTTGACCAAATTTTCATCCCACTATGTTCTCTCATTTTGTGCTTTCTACCGGTGATGTTAAATCCTTTGAAGAAAAAAAAGTCTTTCATTTCTAAGAGTCCACCATTAAAGCATTCTAGTGGTGGAGCTTCTCTTGGAAGGTACACGATCGCTCTTGATCATTATTTAGTTGAATAGAATCCATCATACCTACCAGAAGGAAATGGTTTCTTCCACATATTTAGAACTATGTTTCTTGTAGTTCTTTAAAAATGGGAAAGGGAGTGCTTTAAATATGTGCTTTAAAAGTGCTTTAAAAATGTTTTATATTATGGAAAATTTAAAATATATACAAAAGACAGAAGAGTCAAATTAACTCATGTATATTCATCACATAGCTTCATCAGTTATCAACACATGACTAGTCTTGTTTCATTGACATCCTCACTTTATCATTGTGAAGTAAGCATAGCATTTTATTTCACCTATCATATAACTTTTGAACTGGGAGAAAATTATGTGATTTGTGATTCTCACAAATGTGATTCTGAGACCCAACTGACTTGTTCAAGGTTACAAAACTCATTTGTGGAATTTTCTGCATAGGTGGAGAATAAGTAAACCATATCTTGTTTATGATCACTATTTTTAAAAATACTAAATTGGTAATGCTATTTTTTTAAAAAATTAAATTAAATATTAAAATATTTTAAAAATATTAAATATTAAAATATTACTGTAAATCTATAGTAAAACATCAATATTATTACCCTTCATGCATATACCCAAATCTACTTTCCTCTGCATTGTCTCCTGTTTTTGTATATCATAGGAGAAAACAAAACAAAGGAAAAATGGCTGGATAAAAGGGAAGAAAAAACTCACCTCAAATATAGGCTCAATAATTTTGAGCCGTGCCTAATAGGACAATAAACATGCTATTGATAATTTCTAGTTATGTGCCTAATAACTTTTAGGAAATTCAATTGCCAATTCATGTCATTCTTGTGCATGACTAAGATCTTTCCGGTTATACTTACCTCAGCCTCATCTTTTCTCATCTTGTACTGATATAGTTTAGTACCATGTACCTGGCCCCATTAAAAATGTGCAGTTTCAGCTCTGATCGTCTGTTTTCTCCCTAAAGTCTGGCTTTCACTGTAAGGTGCTTCAGCCTTGCCCTTTTAGATGACTACTTGTTTTCTTCTTCAGTGGGCCACTGTCCTGACCCGGTGCTGGTGAACGGTGAATTTAATTATTCGGGGCCTGCAAACATAAATGACAGAATCACGTTTACGTGCAATGACCACTACATCTTGAAGGGCAGTAATTGGAGCCAGTGTCTAGAGGACCACTCCTGGACACCTCCCTTTCCCATCTGCAAAAGCAGTAAGTTTTAGAGAAACAATCACAAATCCCAAGGATACTGATGAGTGCTGTCACCCTAGACATTTGCAATGTCCCTGTAGTGTTTTCCTTCTTCTTTCCTAAGCTCCTGGGAAGGGCTTAGGGTCTAACCAATAGCCAAGAAACAAGGAGCGCTCTCAGGACGAAACCTCAAGTAGAGTGATAGATTCCAGTGACATGAACAGCAAGGAACTGTACAATGCCTTTTCTCTTCTTAAGTAGCTTTATATCCTACTATTAGTGATTTAGTTTTTATTTGAAAAATACACATAGACACACACACAAGGACCATAACTCATCCACTGCAAAATTATCTACAAGAAATGAAAGTCCCTCTATCACTACAGTTTATCTGTCTCAGAGGTAACCAGCTGGATGTGTTTATTTCATGACTTTTCCTCATGTATATACAGACTTTTAGAACAAAATTCAAAACATACACATATGTATGTATGTGTGTTTAAATAAGAATTGTGTGTGTAGACATATGCCTATAAAATGGGACCTTGCTATATAGATTTTTAAGTTGTTTTATTTATTTATTTATTTATTTTGAGACAGAGTCTCACTTTGTCATCTTCAGTGGAGTGCTGTAGTATCATAGCTCACAGCAACCTCAAACTTTTGAAATCAAGCGATTCTCTTGTCTTAGTCCCCTGAGTTATTGGGACTGCAGGCACCTGCCACAACACCCGACTACGTTTTAGAGACGGGGTCTCACACTTGCTTAGGCTGGTTTCGAACCTGTGAGCTCAGGTGATCCACCTTCCTCAGCCTCCCAGAGTGCTGTTTTTTTAAATTTATAACAATATACACGGACATTTTTCAGGCCTATTCCTAGTTCTGTGGCCTATTTTTACATAACTGCATAGAGGAATGCCATAATTTATTACACATCACTCATAATGATGGACATTTGTTTTATTTCCATATTTTTGCTATTAACAACAATGCTGAAATGAATGTTTTATACACATGCACATCCTTATGTCTGTTATTATTTCCATAGGATAGATTCCTGGAATGATCACTAGGTCATAGGATGTCATTATTTGAAAAATATACTTAAATATCCAAGAAATTCTGCTAAACTTTTTAATACATATTGGTAACAAAATAAATAATGAAAAATCATTTACTTTCTGTTAATAATTATTAATGAATGTTGAAATGTAAATATAATTTAGTTCATAAGATGTATATAAAAATTTACTAAAGGATGTAAAATAAGACTTGACTTAAAAATAGATATACCATGATCTTGAATCAGGGTTACAGTGCAATCCCCACCAGAATTTTAAACTTAAAAAAACATGAAACAAAACATTAATGAACACAAATGTTTAAACTCAAAAAAACATGAAATGGACACATGGAAGAGTACATGTGTAACATTGCAAATTGACTTTTTTTAGAAAATTGTGAGTAATGTATAAATTTTGCTGAATTATAGGGGAGGAAAACTAGTATTATTAGATAGTAAGTAAAATAGATCTCTGATACAAGCAGAATAGAATTGAAAGGTCAAATTGTGGGTGGTATAATTAATATATTAAATAGCAAAGCATAGGCATAGACAAGTAGAACAGTTTATTTTAAATAGGGAGAAAGAGTATATATTCAGTGGTAATATGATAATAATTTATTTGGAAGCAGAAAAAATTAGGGCTCTAGTTCACACCATATTAACAATATATTCCAAATATATATATATATGCATGGATATATATATATATATATGAAGGAAAATTATTAAATTATTGTAAATATGAGAGAATATATTTATATTCTTAGGCTGGGAAAAGACTTTTTAAGGAAAAACACAAAAGTCAGAAGTCATAAAGGAAGAAAATGGACAGATTTAACAAAATTCTTCTTTTTCTTTTTTACCTCTTTTTTACTCACCAAGAGTAAAAGAGGAGATTTAACTAAAATTTTTAACTAAAAACTTCTATATACTACACAATTTTTAAAAAATGATAACAGACTTCAAAAAATTAAAAGATAACAGACTCTTAGAGAAAATATTTGCAACATATTTGATGGTTAAAGAATTATATTTTTAATATACATACAGCTCCTAGAAATCAGTAAAGATAATCCTATAAAAAATATTGGCAAAATTGTGTCAGGATAGACAGTTCTAAAATTATGACCCTAGGGGCTGGGTGTGGTGGCTCATGCCTGTAATCCTAGTACTCTGAGAGGCTGAGGCGGGTGAATGGCTTGAACTCACAGGTTCAAGACCAGCCTGAGCAAAAAGTGAGACTGCTGTCTACTAAAAATAGAAAAACTGAGAGAAGAGAATGGCTTGAGCCCAAGAGTTATAGGTTGCTGTGAGCTATGACACCACTACACTCTACCCAGGGTGACAGCTTGAGATGCTCAAAAAAACCCAAAACCAAAACAAACAAAAATTATGACCCTAAACAATGTTTCTATTTTCCAATTTTATGGAAGGATATTGAGCATTACTAATAATTACAGAAGTGGAAATTAAAATTAGATACAAGTATATGACTGATCAGAGTAGCAAAAAATGAAAACATTGATTTCATCTACTATCACTTGGGCTATGAGGAAATCACCATTTATGTCACTGAGAAAATAAAGTATTATCACTCTTCGGATGTGTTTTAGCAGTAGCTATAATAATACTACAGACAGGCAATTTAAAAGCACAAACTATGTATGTTCTTACAGGAGAGGATTTAGGGTTACTTAAAACATACATATATGCATACATATAAATATAGTTAAATTACGAGCATATAAGATCATTTTATATCATTAGCTTGACACATATTTCAAGTATTTCCTTATTTCTTCCAAACCTTTTACTCTCTTTGATTCAGTAATTCCTACCCTAATTTCCAACAACAAGGAGTTTTCACTTCATCACCCAGATCTGGAAGGGGCCCCCTAGGTCCTGAGGTCACTAAACCATATTTTCTATTTAGAATCAAGATCCACATTTTCTCTTTCAGTTAAAATTATACTCACGAAAGTCACAGGAACTGCACTCAAATTCCCTGATTAACTCATGGAAATTCTTGTTGCTTTCTTCTATTTAGCCTTTGAACTCTGTCTTTGAGCTTTTAAAATTTATTTACAGTGTCTTAACTGTACAAGTAATATATCTTTGCCATAGAAAAATATAGAAAAGAAAAGAAAGCAATTACTTACCAGCCTGGCACCCGAGGGTAAGAGTTATGAGTACTTAGATGAAACAACTTTTTAGGCATTGTTTCTGTGCAGGTATTTGTGTGTGATGGTATTTTATTTATTTAACTAATTAATTAATTAATTTTTTTTGAGACAGAGTCTCAAGCTGTTGCCCTGGGTAGAGTGCTGTGGCATCATAGCTGACAGCAACCTCAAACTCTTGGGTTAAAGCTATTCTCTTGCCTCAGCCTCCCAATCAGCTGGGACTATAGGTATCTGGCTATTTTTTGGTTATAGTTGTCGTTGTTTGCCAGGTCTGGGCTGGATTCGAACCCACCAGCTCCTGTGTATGTGGCTGATGCCCTAGCTGCTGAGCTAGAGACGCCAAGCCTGTGATGGTATTAAAAAAAAATACATTATATTATATATACTTTTTTATGATTTGCTGTTTTTACTTGACCATTTGTTTTGAAGACCTTTATGTAAATATACACCTACATAATCATTCTTTATTTAGCCTTAGTCTTGATCAATATGTTTAGCCTTATACAATCTCAGAGACTGTCTAAGAGACCTTGGAGATAATTTTATTTAACCTGTTTATCTTATATTTGAGAAAGCAAGTCAAGATGGGTAGAATGGATTTTGTAGCACCATGTAGTTCGAGAACAAATCAGAATCAACACTGACAACTCCTAGCACCTTGTCCTCTCTCATTCTCTTCTCTCCCAACTCCATCCTCCTTTTTGTCCTGAAGCTCTCACATGTCACAACTCTGTCCCATAGGGGCTGTTATCCTCTGTGTGAGCTCACATCCTTTACCTCCCTCCTCAAGAAGTTAAGTCTTCTCCCTTCACCTAGGGTCTAATATTTCCTTTCTTGTACCCTGTAATGGGCTTCTTTATAACTTAAACTTCCTTTCCTTGAGCTCCTGCCAGTCAAAAATCCCAAATCCCTCTTAGCTCAGAGGATGAGCCTGAGGAGGGGTCTCTCCCAGACCCAGAAGGAAATAAATGGAGAGCTCATCCCTAGAGCCTGTGTGTACAGTTGACCAGATGTTGGTGCTGCTGCAGACAGTTGCACTTAGGGGCCACTGTTGCCTGAAGATACCTGACCATCACAACTCTCACTCCTATACTCCTCTCTCTCAGGAGACTGTGGCCCTCCAGGGAATCCACCTCATGGTTATTTTGAAGGAAATAATTTCACTTTTGGATCTACCATTACTTATCACTGTGAAGACGGGTAAGTGCACACAGCCTGTCAAATGCGAGAGCTTGCCCGTCAGCTGCATACCTTTAGGGAATGACCCAGTCTAGGCCCACCTCGTCCCCGTATTTCCTACACGATTCTGAGCTCATTCCTATTTTGAGAGCTGCTTTAGCCTACTGCTAGCGCTCCCCAGTTTCTAGAAAACAGACTTATCTTGTTAAAGGATCCTATTTATGCAAATGAAAGGGTCACATTTTGCTTTTGTTAAGACAAGAGAAAGTATTTAAAATGTGTGTGTTTTCAAAGAAGCACAGAACAACAAAACCCCAAAATATAAAAAAAAGTTTAAAAACCCAGAACTTTAGAAATACAAAGACTTAGAGTACAGGCCCTGAGTTGCAAACATCCAACTGATGTCCAACTCACACTTGTGACTAGAGGCTATTACAGGTCACAGGTCAATGCACCTGTTCCAGTTTAACATACAGATTCAACTGAAGAACCAACCTCTAGAACCTATCTTGTTCATAACCCAGGGCCTACCTGTATAAACCCTTAAAGCATCTTAATTAAAGTCTGGCCACCCACCTGACAGATCTTCTAGCCTTTTCTTTCCCTTGTCCCAAACTTTTTTTTTTTTTTTTTTTGGATTAATATAAGGATACGTACAATTGGGTTAAATTGTTTGCATTTGTTAGGAAGTGTCCAAGTTGTAGTTGCATCCTTTACTCAGGAGGTAAGGATACAACTTACCCTACAGTGTACCCATTAGGTGAGAGCTTATGGAACCCCTCTCTGACTCCCCCCACTTCAATTCAATTGCATTTTTCTCTCATGTGGGCCTGTAGTTGTTCATCTGCTAGTTTCAAATTAATATTGAGTACATAGGGTGCTTGCTTTTTTATTCTTGAGATACTTTACTAAGGACAGGGTTCTTCAACTCCATCCAGGTAAATACAAAAGATGTAAAGTCTCCATCTTTTTATGGCTGAATAGCATTCCATGGTATATATACCACAGGTTATTAATCTATCCATGGCCTTGCCACAATCTTATTAAGCCAGAGTCATATGGTTTTCTGGAGCTCCAATCTCATTATTTATCTCCAAAAGACTCTGCTGTCAACTCATGTTTTTTCCTGATTAAAATTTACTGTTCCTTTTTAACTCATTCACTAAGATTTACTGGAGGTGTGATTCTAATTCTCTGTTCCTTTGCAGAGTTTAGATGAGAGATGCCTTCTTATATTGAATGATACAATTCTTCTTTCCTCATCCCTTTCACCAAAAAACTGTGTGCATAAACACACTGATCCGGAATTTCTCACTTCTCTGCTTTATGGGTTGACTCATCACTTGGGTCCTCCCTAACCACCAAGAGAGAGTTTTTACTTTATAACTGCTATGTGATACCAAGATAACTTAAGCTCAGGAGCAGGGAGATGGGTTCCATTACAGAATGAAATACTGAAATACCACTGCACAAAGCCAGCCTCTGTTACCTGGTTAGAAGGTGGAGAGACTAAGCCTTCAATTTCTGTTCAGGTACCGCCTAGTGGGCACGCAGGAGCAGCATTGCACGGATGGGGATTGGAGCAGTGAGCTTCCATTGTGCGAGCTGATCCAGAAAGCTCCCAAACCAGCCCCCCTGGCTGAGTGTGAGAAGGCACTTGTAAGTAGGAGGCTCTAGTCTGTCTGGTTCACAGTCTTATCTCTGGGGCCTGGCGTGGCTACTGGCGCATGCTCAGTAAATGTCTGTTTAATTTGGGGTGTTTTTGAATGAGATGGACTTGGTCTGATTATAGAAGGGGCTCATAAACTATTAATTCACATGTGTATATATGGACGTTTCTATTAACCACCATTATCACAAATGCCTCATAAGACCCTGTTGGTAGGAGTTGCTGTCTCGTGTGCCTCACAGAGCAAGGTACACAAACTCAGTGCCTGAGATTTGGAAGTACTCCAGTGAAAAAGTCTCTGAAATTCTTCAAGGTTCCAAGAACCACTGAACGGATCCATTTCATGGAGACTCTTTTTTTAGTTCATATTACATCAATTCATGTATTGACAAGTATATGTAAACCAGAAAATGCAGTTCATTCTTCATGAAGACCCAGATCTTTACTTAAGCTAGCCTGGGTTGGAGCCCCCACTCAGGGATCAAATTGCTGCTCCTAGCGTCAGAGTACATGGCTGGTCTCAGTCTGTCATAAGTTGTAACTTTTAAAAAAATTTTCTTTTTTCAGCGTGCCTTTTGGGAGACTAAGGATCTTTGCAAAGCGACAAAAGACTTCATGCAACGATTAAAGGAAAGTGACTTGACAATGAAGGAACTAAAATATTTTCTGGAAATGAAGAAAGCTGAGTTGAAGGCAAAAATATTGTTAACACTGTAGCTGAACAGATTGGTAATAGTAACGTATCTATGAATAAATTTTCCTCTTGGTTCTGAAATTGGTTTCAGATTTCTCTCTTACTGGGTTGAAATGCAAGTTCATAGTCACCAACTGCAGTTGTATTATGACTGTGTGTGTGTGTTGTGTGTATTCTTGGAGTCTGAAGAAGCCAAGTGTGGTTACCTGTTTAAGACAAGAATTAGCAGCATATTGCAATCTCCAAGATACAGAATCAACTCAAGTGACCATCAACCTAGGAATGGATTCATAAACTGTGGTATATTTATACCATGGACTGCTATTCAGCTATAAAAAGATGAAGGCTTTACATCTTTTGTATTAACCTGGATGGAGTTGGAGAACATTTTCCTTAGTAAAGTATCGTAAAAATAGAAAAGTCCATATCCTGTGTCTTTATTACTAACATGAAGGCAATAAACAAACAAATACACACACAAGAGAAAAACTCCATTAATTCTAGTTGGAGGAAGGGGAGAACAGGGAGGGGGAATTGTGCCTCACCTAACAGGCACAATGTACAGGTACATGGCACACGTCCTGAGTGAGGGACACACTTCAGCAGGGACTTTACCTAACAAGTGCAAATGATGTAACCTGATCCTTTGTAACCACGTATTAATCTGAAATTTAAAAAAAAGGAATTTGCAGCATACAAATAAGGAGCGGAGGGCTTAATTTCCTAAGAAGAATAGGGAAGCTCAGATTTTAGCTAAAAGTGTATCTCACATTTTAATATGATATATAAATTACAAGGCAAAAATTAACCAAAATTTATGAGGCAAAAATCAGCCTCCCATTTTTGGAAAATAGGCTCAGAATGACCACATCCTTACGATGACCTGCTGATAGATGTGAAGACGCAAACTCCCTCCTGGGTCTCCTCTACATCTGACTTATGAAACCAGGATTCCAAATCTTCTGTGATGAAATTGCTGACTTCTGGATGAAGTCCAGCCCTGCATGGTAGATTCGAGGTGCAGCACAGACAATATATTTTCTTCTCCTTTTTTAGAGGTGGCAGAAATAGGACTTCTAAGGCTTTCTATTAGGGTTTCATACTGAGCTGGCATGGTAAACTTCTCCCATTTGTCACCATGACCCCCGCCTGAAACACATAGGAAATCTGGATAAAATGTAATCAAAATGTGTAAGACAGTTTGAATTAATAGTACATCTCTATGTGAAGATAACAAAAGAGAAAAAGAAATGAGCTCTTGAGTAGCTCAGAGTTTGTTATATGTATGTTGCTAACATGATTTCAGGGTGGTTAGAAAAAACTTTTCAGAGAACAGTGCAAAGGAGGCATAGATGAGAAGAGGATTACTTCCCTCTGGAAGGAGGAGGCAGGAAAATTGTCAAGGGAGAAGCCGCAGCTATAGAGCCTTTAAAAATGAATAAGATTTAGAGACAAAATTAGGGAGAAGGATGTTCCAGATGGAAATAAGATTTAAGAAATGGAGTAAGTGAGTCATGTGCTTTTAAACCAAGTGAATTCATCCCTAGGATTAATCTGACTAGAGCAAAATGATTTGAATTTGAAGCTTTTTATTATAGTATTATATATATTATGTATCTAGCAAGACCTTATGAGCATGTGAAATGTCCAGTCTTAATTTTTATTTATTATTTTATTTTTTTTAGGAGACAGGTTCTTGCTCTGTTGCCCAGGCAGGAGTGCATGGTATGATCATAGCTCACTATAATCTCAAACTCTGGGGCTCAAGCAATCCTCCTGCCTAAGCCTCTAGAGTAGCTGGGACTACAAGTGCCTGCCACCATGCCCTGCTAATTTTTAAACATATTTTGTAAAGAAGAAATCTCGCTATTTCTCAGGTTGGTCTCAAATTCCTGGTCTTAAGGGATTCTCTGGGCTCCCAAGAGAATTCTCAAGGGATTCTCTTGCTGAAATTGCAAGCATGAACCATCATTCCTGGCCCAATCTTTGCAAAATTTTTAATAGGTTATGATGTATCAAATGTAATGCAGACTTTTGCAGTGATACTTGTGAAGACTGAAAATCTTAAAAAATATAATCTCAAGTGAAAATAGAATACTTAATAATAAGTACTTATGATTGTACTTATGTAAAACCATTATTCTTATGGAAAAGGACTGGCCAATAACAGGCATAAATAAAAATGCTTGCCTTCAAATGGTGAAACTATAGGTGTTTAAAGTTCCTTAATGATGTAAAATGATTTTTTGATAATTTTTGTTGAAAGCACTGCATAAGGGTAGAAAAGATGGGACATGTTTAGGGAATTGTATGAAGCCTGGATTGGCCTTGATGAAGCATGGGAAGTGGTGAGAGCCAAGGCTGGGCAGATAAAGTCAGTTTACGGGGGTTTTGAGTGGTACTTTAGAGAATATATATATTTTATATATATATATATATAATTTATTTATTTATTTATTTTGGTAGACGATGGCTAGAAATGGAAACCTTTCAAGTAAGAAAGTGATAAGGACAGAACCTAGAGGAATATTTCTCTCATAACTATCTACAGTATTGGTTGAAAGTATCTGAGACAGATAAACCAACAAAAGGACTCTTACAATAATAGTCCATGCAAGAGACAATGTTGACCTCAATGGGGCTTGATGGTGGCAGAAATGGAAAAGAAGCAGCAAGCATGGAACATCTTGCAAAACTCATATCAAAATGACTTATCAACGAATTAAATCATGGTGAGTGAGGGGATGGAGGAATTCAAAGGTGAGTCTGAAATTTTATTCCTGACAGCCTGGGTTAAAGTTGGGGGTGAGAAGATGAAGCTTTTGGGCAGGAAATAAGATGTTCCTCTCTGGATGTGCTGAGTGTGAGGTGCTTATGAGATTTCCGGTGGGGTGGGGGAGGAGGAAACTGTGTAAGTCTGGAGTTTAGGAGAGTGATTAGAGGTAAAGATGTACTATGGGTCTGTCCTCTGACTGGGAATAGTGAAAGCCATGACAGGAAGTAAGGTCATTAAAGCTGTAAAGAGAAAAGTTTAAAAGAAAGAAGGATCTGAGATATATCTATAGTTAGGGGTGAGGAGGAGGAAGAGGAGACAACATTAACTAAGAGAAATTATTTGACATCATTAAGTTGAGGGAATAAAGAAAGTTTAGAGGAATGGAAGCCAAAGGAAAAGAGAATTTCGAAAAGGAAATTAGCAGCAGCGGCAAAGGCTACAGATAAGAGATGGATTAAAGACATTTTGGATTTGAACATAAGGGGATGCCTCAGAAAGATGTGTCAGCAGAAGAGAGAGTAGAAACCAGATAGGACAGCAACAGAAAGGGTGACTCATGGGAAAGAATAGGCAGGTAGTGTGGGTTACATCTTTGAGAAGTTCAGCATCATGCTGAAGAAGAAAAATGGAATTTGAGGTTTTGGAAAAATAGAGGGAATACTTCAGAATGAGAGACACATTGAGAATGAGGTAGGAAAAGAAGAAAGAATTCTCCTCTGATTCTTGAATGAATAGGAAAGAAAATTCGACACCTCTGAAGCCAATGTAGAATGTTTTTTAGTAAAGGAGGAGGCAAGAATAAGACAACCTGGTGACCTGGAGGAAAATAAAAAATTGCATCAGTCACTATGTAAATTAGAGGAAAGGACTCCAAAAGCATTGGGAAACGGTACATGCAAGACTCATGTTTAAAGATCATACTTCTTCCTATTTAGCTCTCAAAACTTCACACAATCTGGAATCTTCCTGAATGCTCATTCTCATAAAATTAGTGTCTCCTCTTGGTGACTTAGGGCATTTTTGTTTTGTTTTGTTTACAATGTCCTTCAACCTTTAAAAAAAAATTTAAAATATTACAGGGGCACAAATACTTTGGCTACATGAATTGTGTAGTTTGGGTAAAGGTTCTAAGTATGCCCACCACTCAAGATAGTGTGCACTGTACTTATCAGGTGTGACCATACTCTCCTCTCCCTGCCATCTGTTTGATTTCTTTTGAGTTTTACTTCCATGTGTGCATAAGTGTTGATCGATTAGTTCCAATTTAATAGTGAGTACACATGGTGCTTGTTTTTCCATTTTCTTTTGCATTTTTTAAAATTTCAAATTAATATGAGAGTACAAATTTTTGGATTACATTGTTCTCACTTCCAGGATAAAGTTCCAGCTGTAAAAGAGCCCCTCACCCAGGGGGCAAGTTATACACCCTCACAATGTGCACATCATGTGAGATCCTGCCTCATGCCCTCCCCTCTTCTGTCAATCATCCTCCCCCGTTCCCCCATCTGCCTCTGCCCCTATTCTAGACTATATTTGTGTTTGCAGCGATACTTTACTAAGAAGAATGTGTTTCAATTCCATCCAGGTAGTTTTTCCATTTTAGTGGTACTTCACGTAAGAGAATGGTCTCCAGTTCCATCCAGATTATTACAAAATGCTTTAGTTCAGTTTTTTTTATGAATTCCATGGTGTACATATGCCACATTTTATTAGTCCACTCACGTATTGATGGACACTTGGGTTGATTCCACATTTCTGCAATTATGAACTGTGCTGCAATAAACATTTGAGTGCAAGTATGTTTTCGATAAAATGGATCTTTTTCCTTTGGGTAGATACCCAATAGTGAGATTGCTGAATCAAATGACAGGTCTACTTTTAGTTCTTTGAGGAATCACCATACTACTTTCTACAGAGGTTGTACTAGTTTGTAGTCCCTTGGGACAGTGTATAAGTATATACAACAGTGTATAAGTGTTCCTTTCTCTCCACATCCATGCTAACATCTGTTGTTTGGGGAATTTTTGATAAAAACTATTCTCACTGGAGTTAGGTGATATCTAATATTGATGGCCATAATATTGAAGTTCTGATCTGCATTTCCCTGATGATTATAGTCATTGAGCATTTTTTCATATGTTTATTGGACATTAGTCTATCTTTTGAAAAACTTCTATTCATGTCTTTTGCCCACTTTTTAATGATTGTTTAATTTTTTTTTCTTGCTGATTTGCTTGTTCATAGATTCCAGTTACTAGCTCTTTATCAGATAGATAGCATGCAAATATTTCCTCCTATCTTATTTGTTGTCTCTTTGCTTCATTATTGATTGATTGATTGCTTGATTATTTCCTTTGCTGTGGAAAAAAAAAGCCTTTTAATTTAGTCAAGTCCCATTTATTAATTTTTGTCTTTTTCCATGAATAGCATTAGTGTCCTTATAAGTTTTTTGCTTAAGCCAATATCTAGGAGTTTTTTCATCATTTTCTTTCAGAATTCTTTATAGTTTTATGCCTTAAGTTTAATTCCATTTTAAATTAAATTTTGTTAGTGGTGTGAAATAAGGATCTTGTTTCAATCTTCTACATGTGGCTATCTAGTTTTCCCAGTACCGTTTATTGAATAGGCATTCTTTTCCCCAGTGTATATTGTTGTCTACTTTTCCAAAAATCAGATAGTAAGATGAGGATGGTTTTACCCCTGGGTTCTCTGTTCTGACCCATCGGTCTGTCTCTGTTTTTGTGCAAGTACCATACTGTTTTGATTATTATGGCCTTGTAGTATAGCTTAAAATCTGGTAAAGTGATACCTCTCAATCTTTTCCTTTTGCTTATTGTTTCTTTGGCTATTCAAGTTCTATTCTGGTTCCATACAAACCATAGAATTATTTTTTTCTAGATTTGCGAAGAATGACATTGATATTTTAATGGGATTGCCCTGAATCTGTAAATCACTTTGGGTAGCATAGCTTTTTTTTTTTTTTTCGGTAGAGATAGAATCTCATTTTATCACCCTCAGTAGAGTGCTGTGGCATTGCACAGCTCACAGCAACCTCCAACTCCTGGGCTTAGGTGATTCTCTTGCCTCAGCTTCCCTAGTAGCTGGGACAACAGGTGCCCACCACAACGACTGGCTATTTTTTGTTGTTGTTGCAATTTGGCTGGGGCTGGGTTTGAACTCGCCACCATCGGTGTATGGGACTGGCGCCCTACCCGCTGAGCCACAGGCACCACCCGGGTAGTATAGCTATTTTAACAATGTTGATTCTGCCAATCCATGAGCATGATATATCCCCTGTGATTTCCTTCCTCATTGATTCATAGCTCTCATTGTAGAGGTCCTTCATCTCCTTGGTAAGCACTTTATTCTTTTTTTTTTTTTTTGCTATTGTGAAAAGTATTGAGTATTTAATTTTATTCTCAGCTTTGCTGTTGTTGGTGTCTAGAAATGCTGCTTATTTGTATACATTGATTTTGTAACCTGAGTCTTTACTTCAATTTATTTACCAATTTCCGGAGTCTCTTGGCAGAATCTTTGGGGTTTTTTAAATATAGGATTATACTGTCAGCAACTAGTGATAGTTTAACCTCTTCTTTCCTGATTTAGATATCCTTGATTTGTTTAGTAATTTTTACTTCTCATTCAAAACCCAGCCTAATTTCCATAGCTTCTTCAATAACTTCCTTAATTAATTCAACCTGCTGTGGCTTAGCTCCTTCCTTTCTGAAATCTTTATGAAACATTTACAAAACCAGTAAAGTTGTCAGAAAGAATTGCTTTTTAACAGTACTCTCTTGAGAACACAAATCTTAGGCTTTAGGATTAATATCTTAATTGGACAATGTCTGGCATTGGGGTCTTCCTAGATGTTTGTGGCTCACCATTGCATTCTGAGCAGCACTCAATGATAGCCCAACTAATGGAGGTTGCTGGTATGTAGTGGACTGCTGGTAGTAGTAGTTAACATTTATTGAGTTTTGAGTATGTTCCAGGAAACTTAGCACACAGCAGGAACTCAACAAATGTCTGATAAATTCTATACCTTTTGTGATTCTTTGGGGTGGGCTGGAGCCCTTCACGGGGCAGATGCTTCAGTCTCTGAACCTCAGAAAAGCCTGCTGACTTAGTGTCATGGGAAGGGCATCATCCTTCCCTTTATAGAGCTTGTCTGAAACCTGCAGTATCTAAGGTTTCCAGGGTAGCTGGATTAGGTCTTGCTTAACTCTTATGTTTACAAAAGAAAAAAAAAGAATTCTGACATCAAGTCCAAATTACCTCTTCACTTAGGGGAAATGGTTGGCAGAGGAAAAAAAACAATGATTGCAACATGTTATCGAGAATGAGTGCCAGTGAAGAGAAAGAAGATTAGGTAAACACTGCTGCTATATTTCTGCTATTAATCATTTACTGGGACAGTCAAGAGTTTATGATCATTCATTTCCACCTAACTGTCCCTGACCAGCCAACCTGGAATTTAGGGACTTTTTGGTGGAGCAATTACTCGCCAATTTCAGAGCAGTATGATAAATTCTGACCCTGGGAAGAACTAGGACTGTAGAGGGCAAGACAGCTTCTTTTCTTGAGAAACTACACAAGACATCATCATAAAACCCTCTTCTTCCTCAGCTACTGCAGGTCAGTGGACTATTAAACATCTGGGGTGCCTCCGGGGAAAGGCTGGTGGTTTGGCTCTTTATGGAGGCCATGATTAGAAGGATTAGGAAGAGACAAAAAGTTAGGGGTGTTTTGGCTGATATCTTTGCAAGAGTATTGCATCAGGGCATTGTGAGACTTGAAAAGTACTTTTAACCCCTTCTGAGGCTCAAGTTTTTATTATAAATGGAAGAAAATTAATGCACGCAAATAAAATATACTAAAGCAGAAAAAGGTGTAATATGTTGTTCTTGTTTTTCTACATAAAATATGTATGTTGGTTTGTTATCTGTTACCACCCCCTCACGTAGGGGAGTTGAGGCAAGAGGTAAGTCAGACTTCCTAAAAGTGTTCACAGGTAACCTGGTTTTCACAACCACATTCTGAAACTTGCTACAATATTTTTTGAGATTTGATTAACCCCTCCAAATCTCTTCCACTGTTGTCAGTAAATACCTTCAGAGTTGGTAGTAAGGAAGAAATTGGCCAGCTTCCAGTTAGTCTTTGAAGCTGGAGAGCATAGGATGGCATAGCTATCCTATCCTTCCTCTTCCTCACTTTCTTAATTTGATGATGCTGTTTACCCTTCCTTCTTGAAATTCTCTTTTTCTGTGGATGGTCAGGATTCAGTATTATTTTGGTCCTAATTTTAATCCTTCAACTGCTTGTCTCTTTGCTGATTCTTGTACTGTCCCTAAATACGGTAGTACCAGTAGAACAAAAAGTATACAGAAAAGGCATGAACATCAAAGAAGATTTGTATTAAGCTTACAGATACATTTGAATATGATGTGAACATGGAAGGAGCTGATAGATGAAAAGGGAGTCTAGGAAGAGAGGAGAAAGCGTGGCAGCAAATTCTGTCTGGATTTTGCAAATAACATGATTGAAATCTCAGTATAATGAAGGAGAGGGATACTTTGATTACAAGCACAGACAAATATTATTCTTTCCAGAGGTATCTAAATTTTAAAAGGGATATTTAGACAAGACAAGTATGTTAACTTATGAAGTAATATCTAATGGAAGGAGAAATGTGAGGAATGAAGATTTTCCCACTATCCCTCAAATTGTAGTACATTGTTATATGCTGATAGTATTTTTTACAAGAGACTCACCATGTTGATTAAAGTTCTTGAGTTGGTTTCATTTCTATTAGAATTTAAAAGATGGCTTGGCACCTGTGGCTCAAATGGCTAAGGCACCAGCCACATACACCTAGGGTGGCGGGTTCGAATCCAGCCTGGCCTGCCAAACAATGATGGCTGCAACCAAAAAATAGCCGAGCATTGTGGCAGGCACCTGTGGTACCAGCTACTTTGGGAGGCTGAGGCAGGAGACTCACTTGAGCCCAGGAGTTGCTGTGAGCTGTGATGCCACGGCACTCTACCCAGGGAGACAGCTTGAGGCTCTGTCTCAAAAAAAAAAAAAAAAAAAAAAAGAATTTAAAAGATGATGATGTCATTGAAATAGGAAGGCATTTGCTAGTCTCAGCTTTTCAGGGAGCAATTACAGCATTGCAGAGTTTGTAGGAAATCAATCTGATCGTCAAAGTTTAACATCATCCTTTTAGAGATGGAGGAAACTGACATTCAAGAATATGATGTAGCTTCTTCAAGGTCACAGAATTAGACTGTGGTGTGTATTACTGAAACTCAAACTCAGGTCTCCTCAGCTCATAAGGACTAGCTTCCATGCCCATATTCTGGCCGACTGAGTTCTGCTGAGTAGAATACTCTGCCAGAGTAGTTGTGGTGAACTGCAGATGCTGTAACTGAAGAAGTAAGTCATGAAATATCCTGAGAGTTCATGAAAGAAATCTAAGCACCGTATAATCTCTCTTCAAAACTTATAGAGCATTTTATACACATGATTTCATTTGGTCTTTCATGAGACAATCCTTTTCCCTCTGAAGATAAAACTGAATTGAGTTCATGCATTTTACATTTATTGGATAACTATGTATGTCAGTTACATTACCAGATTAGAGATAGAAATTAGAATAAACACATTCTTTGTCCTCAAGGAATTCACAATCTGTTCCAGGAGATGGAAGTAAATAGATAGTTATGCACAATGTGGTGTTACAATCAAGGCATCAGCAAGGTACTAGAGGGAAATAAAAGACTCCAGCATTTCTTGGTGAAGACCCAGGCAATTCTTCACCAAGGAGGCAATATTGATCTGAATAGTGAATAAAGGAGAAGTCGGAGGTAAACCCCTTCACGAGTGGGAGGCATTATGCAAATGCACTCAGGAAGGGGGCTATAGAAGATAGTACAGATTCCAATGCTGCTGCTATGGCCAATTTGACAGAATGTGGTGATTCTAAATATGGAAAGAAGAGAGAGAAGGTAATAATGACTCAAGTGCCTAGTCTGGAGGAGAGGTGGAGATCGTCACCTTAGCAGAGACAAAAAGCACGAAGGTCAAGTAATGTTGGAGGAAGATAGTGAATTTTATTAGAGGTGAGAGTTCACCTCTGAGCAGTTCAGTGGACCTGGTTCGGTTCACCCAGCAGAACTAGCAAGTTCAGCTGAGTCAAAGGGAGAGCAAGAAGGTGGAAAAAGGGGAAACTGAGGCATCCAAGACTCCAATGTAGCAGAATGGAAGTGAAGTTTTTCTTTAAGTGAAGAAAAAGAGAAAAGGAAAGCAGAGATAAGCATAGACTTTTCCTAAGAGTGGAAAAGGGTCCCTACTGCGAGTGAGAGGAGACACCACACAGGAGCAGTACATCAGTGTAAGTTCTTTCACCCCAATTGCTCCTCATTCATCTATAAGAATTCCCATTGGTTCCCCTTAGGGCTTCAGTTGTGAATTATCTCATTTGCCAGATAAATCCAATTTTCTTTACTCTGTACATTAATTCTTATTTTACTAGTGATGGTATGACATCTGTTAGTCTTGTGAGCTTTGTGGCAACTGTAGTGTGCATTGATCTGTGACAGGGATCCTTATCTTTGTTTTATGGGGGATCATTCAGAGGCTAGAAGTTACATTTTGCAGGAACAGCACATACTTGGTTAACTAAGTCACACCCACTCAACATCTCTTGTTTTGCTTCAGGGCCCTTTCCAACTTTCTCATCCAGAAGGCCGTAATTCTCTCCTACCTCCCTGTATTCCCTTTAATCTCCTTCCATCCCTAAATAAGTTGACTTTGCAATGTTTGATTCAAGGTGCCTGGGAGATATAAATGAAGTGGTTGGAAATACTGATCTGAATCTTGGCAATTAGAATTTAAATGAATTTAAATTCTTAAAAAAATTTTTTTCTTTCTTTTTACTTAAATGAGAAGTCTAACAGATTCAAAAATTTTCGTTTACTTTCAAGATTGCAGGTCAACAGGAAAGTGTAACAATTGTTTCTGAATTTGCAAAGAAAACTCATAAGCACCTATAACTTTTAGAAAACAGAAATACTTATTTAAATATCATCTCAGACAAAAAATAATTTGCTAAGATAACCAAGTCAGATTTATGATAGTCTCCAGTAGGGCTCCTATTTGATCTTGCAATTCCATTACGACGCATCTATCCAGAAGAAAAAGAACCATTTTATCATAAGGACATTTGCACTAGACTGTTTACTGCTGCTCAATTTACAATTGCCAAAATGTGGAAACAGCCTAAATGCCCACCAACCTAGGAATAAATTAACAAGCTGTGGTATATGTACACCATGGAATACTATTCAGCCACTAAAAAAGATGGTGACTTTACATCTTTTGTACTAACCTGGTTGGAGTTGAAACACATTCTTCTTAGTAAAGCATCACAAGAATGGAGAAGCAAGAATCAAATGTACTCAATTCTGATATGAGGACAACTGATGCTAATACATGGCATGGGGTGGGGGAATGGGGGAGCAGAGAGAGGAAACGAGAGAGTGACTTAAGGGGTAAGGGGTTATGATGTGTGACATACCTCTTGGGGGTGGGACACAAGTCTAAGAGGGACTTTACCTAACAAATGCAAGCAGTGTAACCTGGTTCTTTGCACCCTTGATGAATCCCCCCAAATAAATAAAAGATAAGCATGGTTATAGACTTTTCTAAGGTTAAAGGTTACTTTTAAGTGGCAGAGCAATAATCTTGTACAATCCAGAAATGAGCCTTGTTAAAAATAATTTTTGCAAGGTTAGTTATAGCATGCAGATACTATCAGCTTTTTTGCAGCTGCAGGGGAAGAGAAAATATTCCTCTTTACTTTCTCTGTGTTTGGAAAGGCTTATAGTTTTAAAGCTAAGCACTGGAATTTTACTTGTTAATAATCAGAGTAAAGAAGACAGGATGAATGGCTTAACACTTACACGGAAGAAGGAATAGGAAAGAGGAGAATAATTGTTAACAATTTGAGTTTATGGAACGTTTAATTTTTTTTTGGAGCACGTAAATTTTTGCATATACAGGAGACAGTTTGGCCAGAGGTCTGTAAGTAATTTATGTATAATGATTGAAGTCGTGGACATGAATGAGTTCCTTCCAGGAAGACAGTGAGGTCCAGAGCGGAAGAACTCCTAGGACAAACCCTGGGGCACCAGCATGTCTCTGTTCATGGTGTACCCTTAGATCTCGCTGTACCAAGGGCCATAGTAGACCAAGGGCTGCTGGCCTCAAATTCACCAGGTGTTCCTCCCCACTGGGTGGTACTTAAGGTTGTCTGGTGATGCAGCCAGCCATTATAATTTAAGTCATTATGATGATAATGCTTTGACTTCTAGGACTTCTGCTTCTAGCACAGTGATATTCCAGCTCTAATTCTGAAAAGCTCCTTCCTAGCATTTCTTTTGTGTGTTTGCTGTGTGCCATCCATGCACATGCCAAGCCCCTCTCACCAATTCTGGGAGACAATTACAGTTATCATTCTTCTTTTATAACAGAGGAGACAAAGGAACTGAGTATCAGTTCTCACATGGTGGAACCAAGATTCAAACTCACGTGGTCTGGGTATGACTCCAGAGCCCACACCCAAAGTCCTGGCCACATTGTCCCCCTCTGTCCACAGCAGCATGGCTGTGGTAGCACAGTGTAATCTGTATGTGCCTGCGAAGGGAGGAGAAGTAGTTCTTGTTTATTTCTTCCATCTTTTACTGTCTTCCAGTAACTAATTGATGGTATGATGACTTCAGGTTAAGAGTAAAATTGTTTGGGCTGGTTCTCATTCAAACACAGTTGTGTCTTCCTTTAAAATCAGTTAATATCTGACCTTGACAAAGCAAACACTATAAGAGTAGATGTGGGTATGGTACAGTGTTATTTTTCTTTGATACATTTTTATCCTTAGGTACTTTTAGGCTTGAATTCAACAAACAAGTTGTGAACCTTTTAACTTTGTGAGGCGCAGTGCTAGGCAGTCTGTAGGGCTGAAATGAACAGAAGCCCACTCTCTGACTTCAACAATTGTGTGGTCTAGAGGTGAAGATGGACTTTGAGTGTTGGTCACAAAGCAAGTCAGAATTAGATTCACAAACACTAAATTCCACTTTGCATGTGGAGGTTTGCCTGGAGGAGAGGAGGGAATGTTCAAGAAGGAACTGGAAGAATAAATAGAAATTAAAGAAAAAAAGGGCAGAAGGCAGGTGATGTGGGCAGGAGTGGGCGGCAGGAAAGTACAGGGAACTGCCAGGGACTCTGATCGTCCAGGACAGCTGGAGCATGATGATCAGGCCAAACTACTGAAAGTGTCACCAAAAGCCTGAACTGAAGGATCAGTTCATGGAGATAAATTTGCTGAATTGATCAAATTATGAATTTATCTAACATTGTAGAAATATTCATTTTGCATATTCAGTGGATATAAATATATTCTTTTTATCAGTATTTTAGATATTTCAATTTCTTGAAGCTAAGGAGTTCATCTTATGGCTGTCTTTTCATAAATATAGTCATGAATATTTTCCTAAGTATATTCAGTGTATATATTTTTCTTGTGAATATAAAACAAGTGCAACAATTCATGTGGGAAATTTTTCACTTTATACTCATCCTTTTGATGTTTCATAGTCAAATCCTACTTCACTAACTCATTGGTACTTTTTGGCTCTTTTTAAAATTTCTCAGAATTTCAAAAAATCAGCTAATTATCAATGGTTAAAAGTAACATGTTCCTGTAGTTTTCATAATTCATAAGAGTTTTTTATTGGATGAGAGAAATTGATCACATTTTGTAAATTTCCCAGATGATTTGGTCAGATGGGCTCCATGATATGCAGCTTGCCTGACTTTCAGCTGTTTCCAGCTTCACCAATTACTAGGGCAGAAAGAGGAGAGACTAGAGAGAGGGAGAGGGAGACTAGGAGAAGAGAGGGGCAGACAGAGCATGACAGCCTAGAACATTGGTCCTGGCTCCTCTCATCCTCTTTAGACCACCTGGATTCATTCAGTTCAAATTCTGCCAACCCATTTTCAGTGAGTGAATGCAACCAGTAAATTGTTCATTAGATGAATTTATAATTTGGCAGAATTGTCTTAGTGGGCATGGACAGAGCTTATGGGATAGGGTTCATGTGACCTGGAGTGCCCACAGGTGACAACAGGTAGAGGGGTGTTTTCATCGGAACTGAGTTTTAGAAAGATAAGGCACTTACGTGACTCTTTGCTAAATGAAGAACTTAGGCCCCTCTATAAAGCATGACAGACCACTATAAACTCCTCCTGTGTTCCATATTGTAGGGCAGAAACATCTTCAGAGAAATATTGAGGGGTTTCCTCTACCTAAATGGATATGGGCTTTGTATGAATTATGAACACACAAGAGTATCAGACCAATCTGGATCTAACAGAGGTAGCAAAATAAAAGATAAAATTCAACATTTCATTGAGCTACCTTCATCTATTCCTTCAAGGACAAGGACTACTTCTAAAGTAAACTTAGGATATAGTGTGTTCTTCAAAGGGATTGGGAAGTGGTGCTGAAGAATAAAAATGTCCTTAGTAATTTTGCTTTAAAGAAATCTTTAGATTGTCTGATTAAATCATGAAAATACATTTGTCATGTTTATATATATATGTGTGTATATATACATATACATACATACATATATAAGATACATGAAACCAGGTTTTTCAAAACTGCTAAGTACTTGATTTATTGCTTTTGTCAACAGTTCTCACGAGGAACTCCCAACCATATCGTTAACACATATAGTGATCCATCTCTTCTTCTCTGTCTCATCATTTCCTTTCCTTTTTGTTTTGTTTTGTTTTACATTTGTACCCCTTTTTCTCTAAGTCTTTTGCCATATCCTTGTTCAGATCATCTGGCTAGTTGCAGCAGTCGTCTTAGTCAGCCACACTGTTTCTCTCCTCTGTCCCCCTCAATGGACCTTGAGGACATTTGCTATAGCGATCTTCTTAAAGCATAATCATTGTGTTACTCCTTAGCTTACAAAGACACACACAAATCAAAAACAGAATCCCCAACAAAATACAATGATTCTATTCTCCAAAGAATAAAGCCTATAAATTCCTAAGGATGGCCATTTAGACATATCTCTTTAACAACCAGTCACAGACACTACACTTCCCAGTGACAATGAAGAATTACCTACTGTTCCCCCAACATATCCTGCCTCCATTCTCTAACTTACGGCGTGCCTAGCTCAGATGCAGCCTCCTGTGTCAAGTCGGCTCCCTCTCTTCACTGGGAATCAATCTTTCTTCTGAGCACACTGGTTCTGCAGAGACTAGCCCTCACTGCCTTACTTTTTTCTTTTTTAAAATTAAATGATAGCTATGTACATTATCTTCACTGCCTGACGCTGTAACATTTGTGCTCATGTCTTTTTTTTCACTCTAGGCTATCATTTCCTTGAAGACATGGATCCCATAACATTTGTTTTAGTGCTTTATAACTAGTAAGAATTCACTAACTATTTATTAAATTCATTTTTTTTTTCAGTAGAAAAATGTCAGGGAAGCAGCAGCTGATCATGCGCTTTCCAAGAGCTCCGCATGGGACGCTTCGTAAAAAAGGGGAACAGGCAGACTTGTCCTTCCCTGGGCTGTGGAAAGTCTCCGATCCAACTCTGTTCCAAGTGACCTTGCTCTCTGCTCTGGTGGCCACTGTTCTTGGTGAGTAACGGGAAGCAAACAGAGATTGGCAACAAGCAATTTAGATCATCCACACATTCACTTTTAAGACTAAAAAAGTGATGACTAAGCTTCCAGCAGAAATCTCACTCTAGTAACAAGGGGTTTATTTGACTAGCTGGACTATGGAATAAACAAGATGGAAATTGCTCTCCATGTAAAAGAGGAAGTTTTCTGGACATGTATCCTTAGAATTTCTTCTCCAGGAATTTCCCGAATAGTCTGTGTCTCCCTGTATTATCTACTGTCTGGTTGAACAATTTTCAGTGGTTGTGGGTTTATCCAAAGTGAAGGGGTGAAGTGTACATTCCTACCTGGGTTCTTAAAAAGTTAATAAGCCCCAAGGGCTCCAGGCTTCGTCCTCCATAGCATCAAAAATTCAAAAGGTTGGCCAGGTAGGTGGCTCATGCCTGTAATCCTAGAACTCTGGGAGGCCAAGGCAGGTGGATTGCCTGAGCTCGGGAGTTTGAGACCAGCCTGAGCCAGAGTGAGACCACGTCTCTACTAAAAATAGAAAACTAGCCAGGTGTTGTGGCAGGTGCCTGTATTCTCAGCTATTCGGGAAGCTGAGGCAAGAGGATAGCTTGAGCCCAAGAGTTTGAGGTTGCTATGACCTGTGACACCATGGCCCTCAGCCCCAGGGCAACTGAGTGAGACTCTATCTCAAAAAAATAATCTGAAAGGTTTAAAAAATGTAAATTAAAAATATTATTACCCATCTCCCAGCCACCCACTTTCCCTTCTTTGATGCAACAAATGTTATATAATGTTATTTTGATAAAATATGTTTCTGTTACGGCAAACTATGGAAACTTCTGGCTTTGCATCAGTGCATCTGAGTGAGCAGATATGGGGAATCTGATAGGCTGATGACATTCATGTCTGTCATCCTTTGCAGATAAATTATCTCATATGTAGTAAGAAGTGATTTAAAACATTCCACCTTTTATCATTATCATTCATCAACAAACGTATGTTACTAATCACTTACTGGATTATTGAGCCATTCATTCATTGGCACATGATTTTTCATGATTAGAGGAGAAAAGAATGATCCTTACTCTGAAAATCACACTGCTGACACATTAAGGTGCTATGTCTCAAGGTATAACTTTGATGTTTCTTGTCATTTGGTGTCCAGGCAATTGTGGTCCTCCACCCATTTTACAATTTGCTTCTCCACTAAGACACGTGAATGAGACAGAGTTTGAAGTTGGAAGTGTCCTGAGATACACGTGCCGCCCTGGATACAGTAGGGTCGCTTCAAATCAGGTTCTTACTTGTGCCTCTGATGGCCAGTGGGAGTATAATGTCTTCTGTACCAGTAAGTATCAACAATTTTTTCTTTCATTTGTGCTTTTTCCATCTTTGGAAAGTTGTCCCAGCAACTAAACTTCCTAAATCTTTAGTCACTAAGAAACCATCTTGTTGGTCAATTACTGATGTCGATGTACACGTCTATGCCACTTTTTGAAACACAAAGCAAAAGAAAATAAAGCAGAAAAAATTAGAAGGTAGCTAATTATATCGAAAAAGAAGTCTATTGTTTTATGAAGTAATTCACCAAACATTTCTTTCAAGAGAGGAACCACACATTTCATTACCATATGTTGAAAACCAGATTCATTTTTTTAAAAAAAAATTATAAAAAGTTAGGTGGCTAAAAGCAGGAATGCAGTTTCCAAAGGAACCCTACCCAAAATAGCTGCTGTCTTTGGAAGAAGCTGTGATTCACTGTCAGTTGGGAGAGTATTCTGGGATGTTTTCCAATAGTAAGGGCATGCTGTCTATACCTTCTCTTTTCTGTTCCCTTTGTGATGAGGGACACATTTTGACTGACCCAGGTTCAAAGTGTAGGCTGCAGACATAGAATGAACCAAAGTTCCTCAGTCCCCGGTCAGGGAATTTAAATCCAGTATCATAGGTTACCTTACCACAGTGACTTAACTGGGCCTTTTTCTCTAGTGGCAAAATGTACCAGAAAAACAAGAGATCAAATTTTGTATTACTTTTTCCTCCAACCTAAAAATGTGGGGAGTCAGTATCACAAATAAGTTTGAATTTAAACCTCTAAGTCTTTCTGAAAACAGAGGTGGAACGTCATTGACCCATCTTCTTTTCTAATTGTTAAAAAAACAACACCTTAGATAAATTCAATTTAAAGGAGTTTAATAGAGCAGAGAACGATTTGTGAATCAGGAAGTCCCTGGACCAGAATAGGTCCAGAGACACTCCACAGATGCCACATGCTTGAAGATTGACGGATAGAAAAAGGAAAGTGACCTACAGAAAATGGAAGTGAGGTATAGAAACAGCTAAACAGAAATAGTAGAAGAGTGGGTTTTGTGAGCTAGGGACAAAGACTTCAGGCAGGTTGCTTTTATTTATTTATTTTTGGGGGATAAGGGTTAGAGAGGACCTCCTTGATTGATTATGAAGCAATAAAGTTACCATTAAAATTTCTCACCCACACTGGCCTTTCATCTTTCATCTATCAGGGCATAAGTTTGTCTATGTATAAGACTGCCCGCAAAATCCTCCACAAATAAAAGTATACCCCATGAGTGTACTCCTATTTTCAGGAGGGGAGAAAAAAAAAAAAAACTAGCCTATTTTAGAATTTATCTGTTTCCTTAAAGTTTTAGTTTGATCATGTTGTATTTAGTATGAATGAGTCCATATTTGTTTAGCCTGGTTTTGGGGGGGTCTCATGCACAAACTCAGTCCAAAACAAGGGCCTCCCTTAATTTTGTTTTAAAGTCCCCCTCTTTTAGTCAGGTTCTCACTTAAATAAGAGTGTGACCCAAACTTAGGGTTTCACCACTGTTCTCAGTTACCATGATTTGGGGTTTCTGATCTCGGCAAGTCATTCCCAGGTTATGGTGCCTGCATGGGCACACAATTCTTTGAGTTTGTTTTGGTCTGGTCAAAGGGAGAATGACATTTTACTGATGGCTGCATGAAAACTTTTAAAGCTTTTGAGGGAATATAGCACACCAGGAAGACTACTATTATGACTATTAAAAGGATCATTCTAAAAGTTTGGAGGATGCTCCTTAGCCAGGGTCGCCATGAACCAAATGAACTGAAATCAAATAGCTCAAAGAATGAGCTGTATACAGAGTCTACTCATTGCAACCAAGCAGCTGTTCATTAATCCACTTCAGCTGAATTTGTATAATAGCTAGTGTGTTCCTCCATGCTCAACAGTAGGTCTCAGAACTGCACAGATATATCCTCTGTTTAGCCATTAAGTAATCTAGAAAATTCTATTATCTAGATTGACTTTAGCAAGAGAATTTAAAATCTGTTGTATAACCACAGCTTCGTAGCAGAATCTGCTGTAAAGCCTAGCATGAGGGATTCATTTTTAGTCATTGCTTCACTTACTCCAAACCATGAAAAAAGAGACTTAAAAATTGATGTCTATTCAGAGGAGTGAAAGCCTCCTGGCAATGTTCTCTTTAACCTATGATGTAGGAGCAGATCCGTGTTCTGTTTCTGATTGATTATGAAGCAATAAAGCTACCATTAAAATTTCTCACCCACCCTGGCCTTTCATCTTTCATCTATCAGGGCATAAGTTTGTCCATGTATAAGACTGCCTGCAAAATCCTCTACAAATAAAAGTATACCCCATGAGTGCACACAAGAGACCCCCTTTTCAGTCTTGTTATTGATAGAGGCAAAAGCAAGGAAAAAACAGAGATATGGGTCTCAGGATTGCAGACAATTCTTGGTTCATGATCTTGGGGAAAAATCTGCCTGCACCTGGGATGCTGTCTACTTCTGGGGAGAAACTTCTCTGGTTAGCTTTACCTTAAGGTCACCAATGGGTGTGCAGGTTTAAGAGTCTTGAAGGGGGTCTTTCTGAGTTGTGAGAGTATGAACCCAAGGTTCAAGGTGTGACTGTTTTCCTGCAGTGTAGATGGCAAGGGCAGTCTTTCTGATGTTGGTGTTGTTCTCAGATGCCCCTGTCTCTGGGTTCTAGATGGTGAAGGGTTTAATTGTCTTCTGTCAAGGGACCATGAAAAACTTTTTTTATCTGGTGAAAACACACTTTGGTATAAACACATCAAATCCTTTCAGGCTTTAGGCATACCAGAGTTCAGTAGCAGAAGATTCATGAGATTCTATTATGTATTAGAAACATAGGCTTTCCAGTAACTATTTCTTAAGGTGTCATGTCAACTTATGTTTGTTAGTTGATGTGGATCTAATTGTCATCAGTCTGCACTACTTCTGGCTAAGAGAATCTAGTCAATTTAGTTAGCTTTGCCTGTTGCTACTGTTATCTGAAATACCTCATTTAACTATTTTACAACTTGTCCAGTGAAAACAAGTATCATTGAAAATTTCACCAGGAATGTCCCATGAGGAAAACACACTTCCTAATACCTTTTTAGTCGTTATTGTAACATGGCCTTCTTCCATGAGAAAGCTTCTATGCAACCAGAAAATAAGTATTGAAAATGATAATTGACTGAAATCCCTCTAAAAATGTTTAAATGGCCCATCAGGTAGAAGAAATGTACCTGAAGGTTTCATTATATTCCCGGACTATAGGTCTGACAAAGCAAACATTGCTCATAAGCCATGTTAGCAATTTAGAGCAGTCGCTGCATCAATTTATGTTAAGTTTGGGTTATTTATCTATCCCATGATCAGTTCTGGAATGCAGAGTTTTTAGTAATGGAAGCGTTTTAAGGACTGAGGACCAGGCAGCTGTTCAGCCTCTCCATGAGTCCACATTTACTATTGGACTTATGTCCTCTTAAATACTAATTTTATTTCTCCAATTCAAGTGCATAGCACTGTTTATTACATCGCTTATCACTGATAATTTTACTTGGACTATGGAGTTCGTTCAAATTGCATATCTAAACAATTTCATCATTGGCTAATTTAACATGAAAATCTGGCAAAGTATTTTTTTGGTGTTCAATTAATTCTTATAGTGCTTGGGTTACAAGTTTTATAAATGAGTCTTTTTATAAGAGTCCTGGAAATTCCAAATGATTTTTGTAAGAGCCCTGGGAAGTCCAAATGCTGTGAATATAAAGTTATCAGAAACCTATAAAATTCCCAGTCAGGGCCCTTTTCATGAACATCCTTGAAAATAATACTCTTGGATTTTAGTTGTTTGTGTAGAGTTTTTAGAAAATGAATCAGAATGAAGCAATGAACTCTGGAAACAACTTAAAATAATCATAGTTTAAGGTTCAATTGACAATGACACTTGGTTATTTTTGTGGTCTGTAATAATTTAACAAAATAATCCCAATTATGAGTGATAACATGTGCTGAATATATCAAAATTTTAAGAATCCCATACAATAATGGAACATATATTAATAACATCTTCATTTCATAAAAATATAACTCAAAGATCATTTTTTACTTGACAGTGCTTCCCATGTATTATGATTTAACATATCAAATAATCCTGCTTATCTCTCTTTTGGATGCCCCAGGAGCCCTCTGTGGCATTCCAAAGTTAGTTTGAGGTGAAAAATGAAAGATTAAATTTTAAATTTGAACTTTGATTTTGAAAAGCCTGTTAAATATTTCAAAGGCTTAAAAGAATTAATCAAAGCAGGATCACAGATCACTGTGAGATAATATTCATTTATTTAGCCAAAGTGATAATTCAAAAAACTTAAATGGCAAAAGCCTTTATTTTTTGAGGAAGAGGAGACCCAGGGTTCCAAATAATCAAAAGATGTGAAAAAGCATGAATCAGAACCGCTCTCTTTCCTCTTTCTCTCTTTTTTTGCAGTTTCCTCAAAGGGGACAAAACTATTTTATCATATCCTATTAATGTTACAGAAAATTTTTATTTAAGTAGAGAAAACCAAGTTTTACTTCTGTATTAGTGTAATATCAATACTAACGTTAATTTTGATATAATCTTATAAACAAATCGACCCGAACATTCTCAGCTTTTGACCACTCCAGATTGCTATAAACTTTTATGATCTTATCAGGGACAGATTGGGAACAGGGTAAGAAGGAAAAGAAAAGTGGACAATTGTTTAGACAGAGAAAACAGATCGTTCCTTAGCTTAGACATGAACAGGGTAGGGAGGAGAGACTATTTTGAGCTACTACAAAAGCAGAAGTAGCCAAGATTGTGGAAAGTTTTGAAATTTAGACACTGCTCTACTCCCCTTCCCCCTACAGAGGGCTTGATCAGTGGAAACTTTTTAAAGAAGAAGCTAGGCAGCATCCCGTGATTAATCAATGCCCTAGGAATATCTAGAAGACTTTTCAAAGGAGAAGTTAGTTAAGAATAGTGTGGAGTCAGCTTGATGAAGACCCTAGGTAGAAGAAATGCATAAACATGAGTTAAGAAATACATAAACATTAGAAGTAGGTGGAGCCAAGCTAGAAATTGGGAAATAAACACAAGGGAACAAATTTGTAAGGGGTCTTTCCTCGTTGGCAAGGAAGAGACCCACACCTCCCTCAGGGTGTTCTATCTGCTTGTAAATTCAAGTGTATTCTATCTATTTATAAACTTAAGTATGTTCTATGTACTTTAACTACTTACACTTCAGTTAAGTTGCCACTGCTTGCCTGTGACTTGCCTTTTTCACGCCAGCTCTGCTCATGGTACTGGGTTTCCCCTTTTTGTGCCAGCTAAGTAAAAGTGCTTTCAGATTCTGGGGACCAATTGCTAGTGGCACCCAAAGAAAGACCTAACTGGGGCTGGAGTCTTCATAGCCCCCTGATAAATCTCTTAACACATTTTAAAATTTGTTCTCTTCTCAACTCTTCTTATTTATTTAGTTTTACTTATAGTTTTTAATTCCCTTCCTTTTGAAATAACTCTTAAGTAATTTTTAAACTGGACAAAGTTTTTTTTTAACAAACATTTTCATGCCTTTACAAGTTTTTTCACTGAAAACATATCTTGCTCTACTTATGTATGTGGTATAGGCAATTGTTCTCTACTAGTATTTATTACATATATTAACTATAATTTTAACTTTCAGTAACCTTACCTTTTAGTGAAAAGCTTAGGAAGTAATTTTGAATTATTTTATATCAGTATTTGTAGGTGGAAATCATTTTGTGATTTTATCATTAAAGTATTTCTTCAAATTATTATTTAATAAATGTATTTTGCTTTTCTATACCACATCAAAATAAGATGCCAAAGTATGTAAACTTAAGTTTAATAATTAATGTTTCAGTATTTTAACTTACAAATGACTCAGACCTTTTACGATTATCCTCTTTTACATAAGGCAATTTTAAGGTTTTAAATTACAAACTATGACACAGGTACCCTTCCTAACATCTTCCTTAGGTCTTAACCTAGAGTGGCCATGAAGGGCAGAGCCTGTCTGAGTCCTTAATTTACATACCAAGTATAGAGCTCAGGACAGAAGAAGTAGGATACCTGGAATAGACCTTCCTTCTAGAATGGCCTGAAGGCAAAGCTGGGGCTGGGAAGGAGGCACCATATTGGACGTGATTCTGCCTTGCAGCTGCTCGTCAAGGCATTGGGAACATCCCCAGGCCAAAACATGGCCACCCATCCCGAGCCAAGACTCCAGAGGCTCAAAACCAAAAAGAAAAGCTCACAGCCAAATCCAGCAAGTATCAAAAATATCACAGGTGCTGCAGTTTTATGAACTTAAAATATATAGACTTTAACCATTTTAAAACTAGTTTTATTTACCAAAAATTACTAAAGTCATGTGTGCTAAAAGGCATTTGACTTAGTTTTTATTTTCTTGATGTCAGTGGAAAAGAACCCATCTTCTGCAAAATAATTTAAATCTGAGCCAAATTTGAGGAGCCTTGAGCAAGTGGACTCAGTGGTGGAGCTGCAGTTAGGTTTTATACATTTCAAGGAGATTGGAATAACAGTAAAGTCATAAATCAATACATGGAAGGTGTATATTGGTTTGGCCTGGAAAGTGGGACATCTAAAAGTGGGGAGTTACAGGTTATAGGTGGGTTTAAAGATTCTTTAGTTGACAATTGGCTGGAGGAGTTAGGCTTTGTCCAATAGACCAGGAGTGAGTGCAAAGTTAATCGGAGCAAACTGCTAGCTACACACTCAGGCCCAGGTGGGTTGTCACATATATTGAGGACCTGCAGATTTGTCTTGCCCAGCTTCAGGCCTGTTAATGAGTCACAGAAGATAGCTCTAAGAAGGGAAAGGGGCCTGGTGAGTGAGGCGTGTCTGATCTCTTCATGGCTAGCAACTCAGTTTTAGTGTATCCCCTTGACCAAGATGGGGTTCAGTCAGTAGCTGGGGGAAAGCCTTAAGTTTTTATTTCCATTTACCCTGAGACTATGTTTAAGGGCTTACTTTTCTTTGATACTTTATTAGCACTCTTTTATATGTTTTGGTAGTGAAATATCACATACATATGACACATATAAACACATAGGCATACAGACACAAAGACAGACACAGATCTTATAGCTTTTCTACAGATTTTTACTGCTAGCTTTTAAATATTTTTCTTTATCCTATTTAGACAATAAATTTTCCCATTACCAGTTTTATTGCCCTAAGCAATTATTAGCCAGGTGGCAATTTGCCTTTTAAAAAGATGACTCTCAGGTGAAACAAGGTAGAAAATTCGTATCTTGAAAGCACAGAACTAAGAATTTAGGCCTAAATATTGTACCCTTATTTGCTTATATTAAGAGGAAGAAAGGTTGTCCATAAAGGTCCCATAAAAACAAGCGAATAGGTTTGGAGAGACTCCAGTGTGGCTATGTGATTAAAGATTTATGGACAGAAAAAGGGAAGTGATTATAGAAAATAGAAGTGAGTACAGAAACAGCTGGATTAGTTACAGTTCAGTGTTCGTCTTATTTGAACATGAGTTGAACAGTTGACCACCTGGATTAGCCAGAACCTGGTAATTGGCACAGAGTAGCTTATAGCCTGTTTACACACCCCGCTAGGTTATAGTGTACTATGTACAGAGAGAGCGTAAGGCCAAACTTAAAATATGTAAGGAGGCAGCTTTAGGCTAAACATAATTGAACATAATGCCATATCTGTGAATACTTGTATCACTAATCATCTAAATTTTTCTCTTAGAGAGACGATGCGGAAACCCAGGAGAGTTACCTAATGGGGAAGTGGAAATTAAAACAGATCTGTCTTTGGGATCACACATAAAATTCAGCTGTTTAGAAGGGTGAGTGGGAGGTAATCTAGAAACAAGTCTTTTAAATTCATTTTTAAAGTAGCTAATGTGTTCATATATTTTCAGAATTTAAAATGATGCAGAAAGATATACATTGAGAATTCTTGATGCCATCCTATCTCCATATACCCCTTTTCTTCCTGTCCTCCAGCAAGGATCCATTTTTATTGGACTCTTATGTATCTTTCTAGTGTTTCCTTATACAAATGTGTGTACAAGCTAAGACATTAGCATATATTCTACCCCTTTCCAATAGCAAATGTGGATTTGAATCTTGTTTCGTTATTTACTCATCAATATATACTGGAAATTTTTGCATATTTGTACATAGAGAGGTGCCTTATTAATCTTCTTTTAACAACTGCATAGAATTTTATGTGTCATGGCTTGACAGCCCCTTTAAGGGATACATGGGTATTTCTAATTTTTTGCCATTCTGAACAATGCTGTGATGCATTACCTTGTACATATGTCATTTCATACATATGCAGTTATGTTTGTAGGGTAAATTCATTGACTCAGAGGTGACTCAGAGCTGAGTCAATGAGTACATATGTTTGAAAGTTTCAAAGATATTGTCAGATTGCACTAAGTAAACATTGCACAGTTTTTCAGAGTTTGCAAAATCTCTCGCTCTGAACTCTCCAATTATGTTGTCAAAAATTTGAAAAATTATTAAATTTTTGAATTTTTTCCAGTGTGAGTGGAGAAAACAAGCTCTTACTATCATTTCAATGTACATTTCTCTCATTATCAGTGAAGTTGAGTGTATTTTTATGTATTCAAATGTATTCAAGAGATGGTCATATTTATTTGTGGACTATTTGTCATGTCATTGCCTATTTTTTTCTCTCAAATATTTATATTTTTTATTCTTCATTTTTAGGATATAGTCAATATGTACATATACCCAATTCCCCCTATTATAATATTATTATTTTTTAACTTGGCTATTGGTATTATATTTTCTTTTAAAGAAGAAATTGTTTGTTTTTATGTTGTTAAATTTATCAATTTCTCCTTTAACAATGGCTCTTAGATTTTATATCTTAATTTAAACGGTGATGCCCAATTTGAGATTTAAAAATAACTGCCAAACCTGGCATGGTGCCTTGTGCCTATAATCCGAGCTCTTTGGGACACCAATGTAGCAGGACTGCTGAAGTAAGGAGTTTGAGACTAACCTAAACAAGTGTGAGACCCTATCTTTACAGAGCCCAGGAGTTTGAGGCTGCAGTGAGCTATGAAGTTGCTATTGCATTCCAGCCCAGGTGATGGAATGAGACCTTGTCTTAATAATGATAATAATAATATTAATTGCCTATACAGAGTGTAACAAAAGCCACCATATGCAGGTACTTAGGGAAAATGGGAAATTGTAGCTGAATGTACCTTTACTTACAAAATTTTATAAAATATTTACAAAATATTCTCTACATGTTTCTCTACCTCTTTCTACACATGTTTCTCTACCTCTTTTCATGAAGTCTTCTTTCCCACTCATGGTGAAAATCTTCTAAGATATGTTTTCTATGTATGCAGAGACTTTTGATACACCCTACATTTCTTCTACTACTTTTATGTTTTAATGTTCAAAGCTTTGACCCATTGGCATACAGTATGAGGTACAGATCCTAGTCTATATTTTCTCATGTTTCTTTCCTGTTATCTCAACATCATTTATTTAAAAGTCCAACTTTAATTCACTGATTTGAGATGCTCTTTGATACTATATAAAATTTCTTTTATTTTTATTTTGAGACAGAGTTTTACTTTGTTGCCCTTCGTAGAGTGCCATGGTGTCATAGCTCACAGAAACCTCAAACTCTTAGGCTCAAGTGACCCTCTTGCCTCAGCCTCCTGAGTAGCTGGGACTACAAGCACCCGCCACAGCACCTGGCTATTTTCTTTTTTAGAGACAGGGTCTCGCTCTTGCTCAGGCTGGTCTTGAACTCCTGAGCGCAAGCAATTCGCCCATCTCAGCCTCCCAGAGTGCTAGGATTATAGGCTTGAGCCATCACATCCAGCCAGAGTATCTAGTTTGTAATCACATCACCTGAAATAGTAATTTGTTTTACTAGCTACTTTCCAATTTTCAGATTTCTAATTACTTTTTATTGTCTATTTATGTTAGTTAATTATGTCAGCCAGGATGTACTTCAAGAAACATAACCACAGAAGTTATGATGTCTGACAATTAAGTTTGCAAACTTATTGTGGAAAAGTGCTATGTACCCCATCGCTGACCATCACTATGGTCAACTTTGAAATAATCCCCTTGGGAATCTATGCACCAATGCCAGTTCCTAGTTCACCCTTCAAATTAATTTAAAAACCCTTTCCTAAAATGGTTATCAAAGCTACAGTGGTATTACCCTTGACGTCCTGAATGTCCAGATTCCTTTCAATATTTCCTTTATCTTTGGATAAAGAAAAAGTCATTGGGGGCTAGATCAGGTATATAATAATACAATTTATTTGTTTACCGGCTAAAACCTCCCTCACAGATAGTGCCATGTGAGCTGGTGCATTGTCATGATGCAAGACCATGAGTTGCTGGCCAAGATTTTCAGTTAAGATTTTCCTGTTTCTCTAGTGATGTTTACTTGGCCTGCTATCCTTCTCATAGTCAGCCAATGGTGTTGGTGCATAATTCATAAATTTTGAATAATAATTTGGCTGCCCCAAATATTATTCTTTATCTTTGAAATCTAATAATTTTACTCTTAGTTGTTTTGTTAAAAATAATTTGGTTCAATTTTTTGCTGCTGTTCAATTTTAATAGGCAGATTAAAGTTTTGTTTTATTTCAGTAGCATTTATTCAAGATGCATTTAAGAAGCTATTTTGTTCTGTTTGTATTCTTTCCTTAGGTTCTACAATTAAGCATATAATGATTCTCCTTTGCTTGCCATTTATACCCGTCATTTTTTTTCTGATTTTTTTTTTGTTTGCTTCATTTTGTTGATTTTCTCATTTTTATCCTATTTTCCTCTTATTGTGTATGGCTCCCAAAAGGAAATGTGAGAAGGTTCAGAACTAAAATGCCATTGAAACCTCAGTTGTTCTTATCAGAATAATTGGAAATACTACTCTATACTTAATCTCTTGGCTAGGTTAGAAAAACTACCTTTTAAAGAAATTTTAAAACCTAATTGTAGCTGTATTAAAGATAAATTTTTCTTGAAGTTAATATATGATAAATTGGTCCAGAGTCTCTTAGATTGTGAAGGTGATATTTACTTTCATGTTCTGTCACATTACTTGATAAGTAATCATTATCAAGGCTTATTACTTGATAATGCTGCAATATGAAATCATTACTTATTATCAATAATCTTGGTGATGCTACAATATGAAATTGTACAAGCAATGCTATTTCCATTTCCCTCCAACCATTATCATGAAAGAGAGGGCAGTGAGACAAAGAAAGCTTAAGACTTGGACTTATAAGCAGCCATAAAAATGGGAGTGGTGAAAGGGGGGTTAATAGTCTAGGTAAGTAAACCTAGCATATAGAAGTCAGAGGAGCCTTCCAACCAGAAATCTTGAGAGTTTAGGGTCAGTAATCTAGCTGGCACTTTCGATTAAAGGAAATTGCAGAATGCAGTCAAGTGACTCTTATTATCCTGCTTGAGCTCTGGAAGAACTGCATGGGTGACACCTCATAGATCCTCAATAATAGATTAAAGAAGGAAAAAACAAATGAACAAACACACTTGCCTCATTGGAGTGATGAAATTTTACTAAAAAGTGTGCTCAATGGGAAGTGATATTTGAGAAAACATTATTTCTTCATTTTCATATTGAGTAGAAATTACATTTGTTCAGATCCAGATCTCTTTATCCAATTTAATTTGGGGTAGAAAGAATTCCATTAAAATCTTGTTTTTTTGTTTTTTTTTTTTTGAGACAGAGTCTCACTAGGTCACCCTCAGTAGAGTGTTGTAGTGTCACAGCTCACAGGAACCTCAAACTCTTGGGCTTAAGCAATTCTCTTGCCTCAGCCTCCCAAGTAGCTGGGACTACAGGTGCCTGCCACAATGCCCGGCTATTTTTTGTTGCAGCCTGGGCCAGGTTTGAACCCTCCACCCTTGGTGTATGTGGTGGCATCATAACCACTGTGCTACAAGCCCCAAGCCCCATTAAAGTCTTTGATTCTCTCTTGTTCAGATATGTCTTAGTTGGTTCAACTACTAGTTATTGTGAAGTCCAAGATAAAGGAGTTGACTGGAGTGATCCTTTCCCACAATGTGTAAGTAAGTGAAGATTTTTTTCTGACTTGACTATCAACTTTAACTACTTTAGATAATAAAGTTCCTGCACATCTTTATCTCTATGTGTATCCTCCATTAGAATTTTCATGAAGTTTAGATTTGTACCAGTGCCTTTCTTGATAATTTCTTTCTCTTCACTCACTCATATCAGTTGCCAAGTGTGAGGCCCCTCCAGACATCAGCAATGGGAAGCACAATGGTGGCAATAAAGACGTGTATGAGTATGGCGCCTCTGTCACCTACAGCTGTGACCCACACTTCTCACTCATAGGCAAAGCCTCCATTTCCTGCACAGTAGAGAATAAAACCACAGGTGTCTGGAGCTCCAGCCCTCCTGCCTGTAAACGTAAGTCTTAAGGATGCATTCTTCTTTGAATTGTTTGTTCTCCTTTGTTTTAAAGAAAAATAAAGAAAAATTTATTGGGAAAATGGAACAACTCAAAGACTAATTACTACCAATGCAATCATTTATTTGGCCAACTGATATTTACCACATGCTGTGTTAGAATATAGTAAAAAGCTGCACCAATATCTCACTGGTTTGGTGAAGTAAAAGTTCATTCTCATTCATTCTGAGTCTGTGATGTGGCTAGGTGATTCTCCAGAGCAGCTGTAGTCTGAGCATTAGCTTAGCCACCTGCTTAGCAATCCAGGTGGCTCTGTTCTCATGGTGCTTTCACAGTCTCTTCAATAGAGGAAGAGAGAAAGGTAAATTGAGCTGTGGCCATGAGCTTGTCCTGCAGGTGACCACATCCCTTTGCACTGCAACCTTTTTAAAATTTTTACTTATTTATTTAATTAATTAATTAAATCATAGCTGGGTACATTAATACAGTGCACGGCAACCTTTTGTTTATAACTAGAGGGAAGCTTCAAAGGATTGGGGAATGTAGTCCTTTGTCTGTTTAGGAAGTACAACTGAAACTGTCAGCACTTGTAATGTCAACCACCTATGCTTGTAGGGCAAGTGAAACCTAATACCAGAAGGGCAAAAGAACAAAGCAAGCCATAATTGAGCCAGAAGATACATGTATTATGTTCCTGTTAGTCTGCTTATCTAGGGCATCACACTTTGCTATTAACTTCACACAGTGTCACTTGCTATTCTGATTTAACAACAGGATATAGTCAAACTATGGAGATAAAAGAAGGATACTGCAAACAATGCAAAACGCCTGAAGTCAGGGCTGCAAGAAGTGGAAATGGGAGGAACTAAGACTGGAAAAGTTAGCAGGGGCCAGGTGATGAAGGGCCTTGTATGTCGCTCTCAGGAGAATGAGTGTGCTTTTAGGAAGAAATCTGGCTAGAGAATGGACAACAATCTGAAGCGAGAAAAATCTTAACCAATAGGCATCTGTTTTGGTCCCTCCAAATTCATGTTAGAACCTAAGACCCAATGTGATAATTTTATCAGGTAGGGCCTTCTGGAAAGTGATTAAGTCATGAAGGAGCCAACATTATGAATTAGATCGGTGCCCTCATAAAAGAGATAGAGGAGAGAACCTTAGTGTTTTTTGTCCTTCTATCTTGTGAGAACACAGCATTAATCCCTTCCTCCACATAAAGATGCAGCAAGAAGGCACCATCTTGGAAGCAGACAGAGATCAAGCCCTAACCAGACACCAAATCTGTTGGTGCCTAGATCTTGGACTTCCCAGCATTCAGAACTGTGGGAAACAAATTTCCATTATTTATAAACTACCCAGCTAAGGTATTTTGTTATAGTTGGAGAAATAGACTAAGATGGCACCTTTGTAAACCCCTAGCCAAATAGTAAAGATAGTATTAACTGTAGCTATGGCAGCTGGCTTAGAGAGAAGTTGAAGCATTATAGAGAAATTAAGGTGCTAGGATTGACAAGATTGGTGACTAACTATGTGTGACAGGAGGTGAGTGCAGTTTGTTCTCTCCTGGGGGTATAGGTCTCTGATGTCCTGGCTACTTTTGCATGATACCATGTCATTACAGTAGGCCAAGGACCTACCAAAATCATTCAGGAAATTAGGACATTATATCAGAAGTTTTGGGGACCTTGGAGGTACATTTTTCTTTTGGCTTGTATATGACTGAATATGACTATTTACAAATTTTTTACCAAAAAAAATGAAATAAAAAATATTTTTCTATGACTCGCTTTTATTGGTAGGACAGTTGAAAGAGTTATCCACAAACATCTCATAGAAGGACCAAGATGATAGGAACTCACTTGACACAGGCTTTTTAAAAACTGAAATGATACACATACATACTTTATTTTTTATTTTTAAAGTTTTTCCCATTTATTTTTCATTTGTGTATTAATATAAGGTGTAATTGCAACTTTGCTATATTGATATTGATATATTTGCATTGTGATGAAGTCAGGGCCTTCAGTGCATCCACCACTGGAGTATACATATTGTACCCACCAAGCAACCTCCCATCACCCACGCAACACCTCTCCAAGTCTCCATTGTCTATCGTTCCATGCTCTTCTTCCTTAGCTCCCACGTGTGGGACAACATGTGGCATTTTTCTTTCTGTGTCTGGGTGGCTTCACTTAAGATAACGGTCTCCAGTTCTAATCATGTTGCTGCAAAAGATGTGATTTCATTCTTTTCAATAGCTGGATAGTATTCTGTTGTGTATATATACCACATCTTCTGTATTCAACATTTGGTTGATGAACACAAAGGATGATTCCATATGTTTGCTATTATGAATAGCCACAATAACATATGTGTGCAGGTATCTTTTTTATATAATCATTTCTTTTCCTTTGGATAGATACACAGAAGTGGGATTGGTAGATCTTATGGTAGTTCTATTTTTAGTTCTTTGAGAAAACTCCATACTGTTTTCCATTGAGGTTGCACTAATTTATAATTCTCATTAAAACTGTATAAGAGTTCCCTTATCACTGCATCCTTGCCAGCATTTTTCTTTTTTTGTTTGTTTGTTTTTTTGGTCTTTTTAATAATGGTCATTTTCATTGGCATAAGAAGATATCTCATTGTGGTTTTAATTTGCATTTCTCTGATGATTATTGATATTGAACATTTTTTCATATGCTTGTTGGCCATTTATTTGTCTTCTTTTGAAAAATGACTACTCATGACCTTAGCCCATTATTTTTATGCTTTTTTCTTTTTTTTTTTTTTAACTGTTTGAGGTTTGTTGAAGGTACAAAGAATTGGGTTACGCTGATTGAATTTGTTAGGTAAAGTTTCTCTTATAATTGTGTCCTACCCCCAGGAGGTGTGCCATATACTATAATCCCCCATGCCCCCCTCCTCATCCCCACTTATTGCCCTGCTCCCCACCTTGAATTGATTTGAGTTTTCCTCTTATGAAGGTATCTATTAGATCTTCTACTGGCTTCATATTATAATTGAGTACATTGGATTCTTCTCCATTCTTGTGATATTTTACTAAGAAGAATGCATTCCAACTCAATCCAAGTTAATACAAAAGATGTAAAGTCTCCATCTTTTTTAATGGCTGAATAGTAGTCCATGGTATACATATACCACAGCTTGTTAATCCATTCCTGGGTTAGTGGCACTTAGGTTGTTTCCACATTTTAGCAATTGTAAATTGAGCTGTAATGAACAGTCTAGTGCAAATGTCCTTATGATAGCGTGATTTTTCTTTCTTCTGGGTAGATGCCTAGTAATGGGATTGCAGGATCAAATCTTCATACTTCCTTCCAAAAAGGTTATATTAGTTTTCAGTCTCACCAGCAGTGTGAAAGTGTTCCTTTCTCTCCACATCCATGCCAGCATCTGCAGCTTTGAGACTTTGTGATGTAGGCTATTCTCACTGGGGTTAGGTGATATCTGAGGGTGATTTCGACTTGCATTTTTCTGACCATCAGGAACGATAAGCATTTTTTCATGTTTGTTAGCCATTCATCTATCTTTCTCAGAGAAGGTTCTGTTCATGTCTCTTGCCCAGTGGTAGATGAAATTGTTGACTCTTTTTCTGTTGATTGAGTTCTCTGTAGATTCTAGTTATCAACCCTTTGTCAGATTCATACCCTGCAAATATCTTTTCCCATTCTGAAGGTTGTCTTTTTGCTTTATTTATTGTATCCTTAGCTGTGCAGAAGCTTTTTAGCTTAATTAAGTCCCTTTTTAAAAAAATTTTTGTTGTTGTTGTGATGGCCACTGAAGTCTTTGTCATAAAATATTTCCCCAGTCCAACATCATCAAGAGTTTTCCCCATGCTTTCTTCTAAGATTTGTATTGTTTTGTGTCTTAGATTTAAATCTTTTCTCCACCATGAGTCAATTTTTGTAAGTAGTAAAAGGTGCGGGTTCAGTTTCAATCTTTTACATGTGGTTGTACAGTTCTCCCAACATCATTTGATGAATAGGGATTCTTTTCCCCACTGCATCTTTTGTTTGGTTTATCAAAGATCAGATGCCAAGTAGAGACTGGTTTCATCTTTTGGTTTTTTATTCAGTTCTATATATTTATATCCCTATTTTTGTGCCAATACCATGCTGTTTTATTTACTGTGGACTTGTAATATAGCCTGAAGTCTGGTAAGGTAATGGTTCTAGCTTTGTTTTTATTACTAAGAATAGCCTTAGCTATATGATATTTTTTATGGTTCCATACAAAACGAACTACTATTTTTTCCAGTTCTTCAAAATATGATGTTGATATTCTAATGGGGATTGCATTGAATCTGTAGATTGCTTTGGGTAGAATAGACATTTTGACAATGTTGATTATTTCCAGCTATGAGCATGGTATGTTATTCCATTTGCTAATGACTTCTGCAATTTCTTTTCTTAGGGTTTCATAATTCTCATTGTAAAGATCCTTCACCTCTTTTGTTAGGTATATTCCTAAGTATTTCATTTTCTTTAAGTTACTGTGAAGCGAATTGCGTCCTTCATTTGCTTCTCAACTTGGCTGTTGTAGGCGTATACAAAGGCTACTGATTTGTGGACATTGATTTTGTTCCCTGAGACATTACTGTATTTTCTGATCACTGCCAGGAATTTTATGGTTGAGTCTCTGGGGTTTTCTAAGTATAAGATTATATCATCAACAAAGAGCAAGAGTTTGACCTCCTCTTCTCCCATTTGGATGTCTTTTATATCCTTTTTTTGCCTCACTGCACTGGCTAGAACTTCCAGCACAATGTTGAGTAGTAGTGGCGATAGTGGACATCCTTGTCTGGTTTCAGTTCTAAGTGAAAAAGCTTTCAGTTTTACTCCATTCAGTATGACATTAGCTGTGGTTTTGTCATAGATGGCTTCAATCAGCTTAAGAAATATGCCAACTATGCCTATTTTCTTAAGTGTTCTTGTCAGAAAAGGATGATGAATTTTGTCAAATGCTTTTTCTGCAT